GTATTTAGAATCGACTAACAGAAAATGAACAATGGTTTCTGTATAATCTCCTTGTCTTTAAAAGGTTTTTGCTTATACTATCGTACATAATAAAACCCAATAAGATACAACCTGTTTAGACCATTGGAGACAGAAGAACAAAAGCTAGATGAGACTTCAAAACAAGATGATACTAAATCAGTATTACCTATTAAGATGTCATTCTCTCTAAAATAGCTGTTCCTATCATCCAATCTTCTCTGTCTCATTTCTGTTGAGCTCTTTTTCTGTCAGTAGCTGTCAGTTTGTCTTCTTCATTTTGTTCTCTGCTCCATTCGTTGTGGCCTCCCCGCCACCATTTCTGGGTTCTTTGTATTTTTCTTTTTTTAGAATATCCTGCAATACTTTCTGTAGGGTTGAATTGGTGGTTGCAAATTCCCCCAGTTTCTCTTTATCCTGAAAGCACCTTGTTTTTCCATCAATTTCCAGGGACAGTTGTGCAGGATATCTCAATCTTGGCTGGAGATTATTATCTTTCAAAGCTTGAATTATTTCCCCCCACGCTCTTCATGATTTGATGGTTTGTGCAGAGAAATCTGCTGTAATTCTGATGGGTGTTCCCTTGTAAGTGGTCTGTTTCTTGTCTCTTACAGCTTTTAAGATTCTGTTCTTGTATTGAATTTCTGGAATTTTTATTATTATATGCCTGGGTGTTTCTCTGTTAGGGTTGTAGGTAGCTGGGGTCCTGTATGCCTCGTACATCTGAGTATCTTTACCTTTTGCTAAATTAGGAAAATTCTCCTGGATTATTTCTGTGAGTAGCTTTTGTAGTTCACTTGTTTGTGTCCCTGCTTCTTCTTTTATGTTCTTAATCCTTAAGTTATGGCTCCTCTTATCATCTTCTTGTCTTTGTATTATTGCTGTTTGTTTCTTTGTTATTTTTAAGAAGTTTTTCATTTCATTTTCCCATATTACAAGTCTGCCCTCCAGCTCAGATAGTCTGTCCTTAGTTTCTTTCAAGCTGTTATGCCAGTCTTGGATAGACTTCTTAATTTCTTGATAGTCCCTTTGAACCTGCTTCACGTACTCTATGCTTTCTCTGTTTTCTCCATCAAACAATTCTCCCCTCTTTTTCTGTTCTTCCATTCCACCATCTGTTTTTTCCTGGGTGGTGCTTAGCATTTCTCTAACTATTCTGCATACTTCTAGCTTCAGGTCGTTGATAATTTCATTCCTGAATTGGTCTATAAGGCTCTCTATATGGTGCTTAATGTCTATTGGTGCGGTGTCCGCTATTGCCTGTTTCTCAGAATTGGGGGTCGAGGAGCCTTTCTTGTTGCTTCCCTTCCCCATTTTCTCCGTTCCTTATAAAATGCAAGCTTACATAGGAGGCCCAGCTTCCCTGCCTGTCAGCCACAGCCTGATCAAATTGCGCTGGCTAGGTGTTCCCGCCCACCGCTGCGCACCAGGGAGTTACGGACTAGGCAGCCTACCCGGGAGTCACCCCTCTGGGCCACCGTCAGGCTCTGGGATCTGGGTTAGGCCAGCCTACCAAGTCCACCCGCAGCGTCACGCAGGCCAGGCACTTTTCACCAATCCTGTCCAAGAGGGGAATGTGTGGCTGGAGTCACCACCGCGCCCTGCTCTTACAGGACTGCCCGAGCCCAGAAAGTCCTCCGCTGGAGTCAAACTGTGGTGGAGTGTCAGTTTCTCTCACTCACCTCGACACCAGTCAGTGTATGCCTCCTTGTCCGTCCTGTTTTCGACTCCGTTTGCAGACTCCCATTCCCAGAGCTTCTGCGCGTCTCTCCTTGCCGAGCCGCTGTGGAGGCAGTCAGCTGCTGTGCGGCGGGAAATCCAAACCGTGGTTTCCAATGGCGCCGGGTCCAGCCTCCACACCGAGACTTTTCTGTTCCTATTTTAGCGCCAGGACTGCATTCCAAGTTGGTTTCTCTCAGCCCAGTTCGTTCCTGAGTCAGCAGAACATATCTCTACTGGTTCATGTCTCCTTAGTCCGCATCATTCCTGATTTCTGAGCCGAGCCTTTCAGAGAGCCTCCGGTAGTTGCTGTTAACTATCCGCCATGTTCTACCGGAAGTCCTCAGTATCATTGTTTTTATTCTTTGTTCATTAAAGAAAAAAAAAAAAACCATCATGGTGTGTCCTCACTCAATTTATTCAAAGAATCTAGCACTGTCCAACTTCTTTTCCTCCCCACAGTCAAAATAACCACAAAAGGTAAATGTTTTGAGTCTATTCAGGACATCAATGCTCTATAATTAGATACTTATGAAAGAGGACTTCCAGAACCATGGGATAAATGTTTTTGAAGTGAGGAGATTATTGTGAGGAGCAATTAATGGTAGTGTATCTTTTACTGTAATACATTTTTTTGAGGAAGTTAACCTTTCACTATAGTTTCACCTATGAACTATATTTTTAGATTCCATGTATAAATGAGATCATATGGTGCTTGTCTTTCTGTGCCTAGCATATTTCACTAAGCGTATTGGTCTCCATTTCCATCTATGATGCCTCAAGTAAAAAGAGTTCCTTTTCTTGTAGCTAAATAATATGTTATGATTTGTACATGTCATATGTTTTTTCTCTTTTTTGCCATTCATTAGTTGGTGTTTAGTTGCTGATTTCATTTAGTTCTCTACACATACCTAGTAGTGGGATTGCTGCATTATATGATGGATCTATTTTTATTTTTTCAAGACCTCCATTCTGTTTTCCATAATGGTTGTTCTAAGTTACATTCCCACCTGCAGGATATAAGCATTGTCTCTTCCTTACATCCTTGCAGTCTTAGTTGTTTTGATAATAGACATTCTTACTTGGGTGAGGTTTTGATTTGCCTATTTGTGACTTTGATTTGCATGTCCTTGATGATTAGTAATGTTGAGCATTCCTGTTAGTTTTTTGAGACCCTGTCTCACCATCTAGTCCAGGGTGGCCTCAACCTCAAGGCTCAGCCTTCCAAGCAGTGGGAGTGTGAGTGGCACTACCATGGCCAGCTGCTGAACATTTTTAATGTTCCAGGTGGCCATTTCCGTGTTATCTTTTGGTGAATGTCTTTTTAGAATGATTGCCCATTTTAATTGGTTGTCTGTTTGCTATAGAGTTTTTGCACTTACTTGTGTAATCTTATTGTCAACCGTTCTCAGATGTGTAATTTGTATTTGTTTCCTTTCTGTTGATTATTTGCTTTGCTGTGTGGAAGCTGTTCAATTTGATGTAATCCTATTCATCTATTTTTCCTTTGTGTGTGCTTTGAGGTCTTGTCCAAAAGCTAATTGCCCAATTTCAGTGTCTCAGCACCCAATTTCTTCTATATTTTCTTCTAGCAGTTTCATATTTTTCATTTTAGTCTTTAATTCATTTTGAGCTGGTTTTTGTAACTGGTGATAGATAGGACTCTCCTTTCATTGTTTTGCATGGGGATATCAGTTTCTCAGGCAGTAGTTTATTTTTTATTTTTCAAAATACTCACTTCTTTATTGACTTTTTTTCTGAATGCAATGACTTTTTTACCCTTAACGAAAATAAACATCTTTTAGAAACAGCTTGATACACAGTCTTCAGTGTGAAGCAATATTACTAATAAGAACACTAGTCATCTTAACATTTATAGTCATCCTATCTATTATGTATGTATATGCATACATGTATATATACATACACTATATAACAAGGCTAGGTAGAATACACATGTTCACTATTGTACAGTAATATGTACAAGAAGTTGTGAGGGCATCCCTGGGCAGGGGGCTGCCTCAGACCTGTTGAAGCATGGACAGAATTGATGAATGGACAGACTGGTAGGACTGGCCTGAGCCGGTGGTGGTCTAGTAGAATTTATTGAAAACATTGTCTTTTCTGTAATCCAAGTTCTTAGCACCTTTGTGAAAAGTTGGTTCGCTGTAGATGCTTGAGTTTATTTCCAGGCTCTCTATTCTGTTCCATTAGCCCTATGTGACCATATTTATGCAAGTACCACATTCTGATTACTACTGCTTTAAGTATGTTTAAATCAAGTAGTGGTATACCTCTTGCTTTTTAAATTGATCCTTTCAATCCACAAACATGGGTATCTATAAATTTTCGTGTCCTCTTTTTTTTTATCAGTGTTTTGTAATTGTCATTGTAGAGATCTTTCACCTCTTTGATTAAATTTGTTTCTAGGTATTTTGTTTGGTATTGTTTTTAATAGATACTATAAATGTGATTGCTTTCTTGACTTTTCTTTCAAGTAACTAAAAAGATCATTTTTATATTACATTTAAAGCTTTGATATTTATTACTGGCTAGCACTTTCTCTGATCTCTACCACTGGGAGGGATGTATGAAACTTAGCAACACTGAAAGTGGTGTAGTTATAGATTCTGTTGTTTTTTTCTTAAAATGTTTTTGGTTTATAATCTTCTGAATCCTTTAAAAATGTTACCACCAGGTATGAAAACTTTTAAGGTCTATGTGGTGAGGAAAAGAAAGTATGAAGTGTCTTTATATTTGGTATAATGAATTCTGTTGCAGTTTTTCTGTTTCTGATTAGCATTTTTTGAAAAGCAACCTTAAAAATTGTCTAGTAGCACCCTTACGTGAATATGCCCACATCTAGGAACTCAGATCTTCTGCTACTCCCTGACCTTTTTTAAATTGAACAACTTCTTGGGAATAGATTATCTCCAATTTTTGTTTTATGCATTTGTCAGTAAATTGGGGAGAGTAACATTGTGTACCTTGAAAAGTTTCACGTCTTACCTCAAAATCTGAATGTCGTTCTTTTTTAAAGAATGTTTACTTTGAAACTCTTATATAATGTATTGACTTGTAAGTGGCTAGTTAGAATTCTGCATTGTCTCCCTCCCAATACTGAGACACTTTACTAATGTGGAACAGTTTGGATATTACTTGCCTAACAGTGCAGGAATCAGGGTAAATACTGTTATTTTGTCACTGGAAATCTGTTTCCTTTCAACATTAAAATGCTAATTCATTCCTTTTTTTTTTAATAGGTCTTACAAATTAAGAAATTTTGGAGCTGCAGAAATGGTTGGTCTTAGCTACAAGTGGGAATTTGAAGTCACTCTGAAATACATCCTGGGATAATTGTATTTGACTGGAACCAAATCTTATGAAATCCCTAAGGTAAAACAATTTTAACGGCACCTAGAGATAATATCTTGATAAATTATTGAATATTTAGCATCACCAAGTATCCACGAATGGATGAACCTTTATAGAAGCCTTTTAAAACTGAGACTATTTGGGAATTTAGGGAAATTCCATTCTTTGAACTCTCACTTTCATCTCTGAAAAGCAATACTTTGGCTTTTTCAGTTGAGGGAAAGAGGAAGAGAGACAGAATTATTGAACAGATTTCCTGCTCCAGTTCCTCCCCCTCGCCTGGCATTTCTCTGGGGAATCAGACCTACACTAAATTATGTACTTGTTCGAGGGACAAAGAACTTTTGCTGTTCTCCCAGGAACTGTTTGATATAAGGAGATGGATGAGGTCATTTTAAATGTCTGTCCATGAGACTTTTGATTTTGGGAGTTTGTTGAGTTGATCCAACAAGGAAAGCAGAAATGATTCTGAAGTTAAGGACCAGAGGAAAATGCATTTAGGAACTAGGGAGACAGATGATGAGAGAGCCAGAGAAGTCCAGCAGATGGTATGGAGGCATCCCTGAGTCAGCAGCTGCAGGACCTCTGCCGTGCTGGGTTGGTGGACAGAGAAAGCAGAGCTGGGCAGGGCCCTGGGAAGGGAACTTCAGGGGAAGCTGGATCAGCAGCAGACTTTCTGCAGGAACTGGAGTGGTGGTGGGGGAAGAAACAGCTTCTCTGTAGATGCTGTGAGGCAGGGAAGGTGGAGAGATGAACCTGGACGCTACCTTTCTTCCCTTCCTGTTCCAGCCTCAAGCCATTTCCTCTACTGGCTGAGCCGGGAGTCTGGGAAATACCATCTGGAAATTCCCTTGGTACAAGAGAAGGGGGAAGCATAGGTCTGAAGCATAGCATAGGTCTGCAGGCAAAATAGGCCCAGATTGGCATGGAGTTTATATTTTTTGAAAAAAATAGTTTTCTTTTTGAAGTATCATTTTCACATCAGAACAGTAGCCCTTCTCATGGCTGTGTTGTCATTCATTTAACCAGTCCCATATTATTAAACATTTGGATCATTTTTAACATATTAGACAATAGTTTATTATTGTAAACAATAACAAAAATTCCCCACACATTTCTGGCTCTTTCTTTGGGATTAAACCCTATAGATGATTTGCTAGATTGAAGGATATGAATATTGTAAATGTTTGACTCACATTGTGAAATTACCTACCAGTTTATAGTTTTACCAAGTGAAATACTTTCCATACTATAGGAGAGATGTCTCATTCTGTTATTACAGCCAATGGACATCATTATTTTACAGATGCATGCTAATTTTATGGGCTGAAAAAGTGTCCCTTAGTGTTATTTATTTTGCATATTTATCAGACATTTAAATTTCTCCTTTTGTTGCACTGTAAATCTCTTAGTCTTCATAAATTCAACTAGGAGATAGGCGTAAAAATAGAAAAATAATTGGACTAGGTAAATTTAAAAGTGGACCTTTTTATTGTTTGCATATCTTTTTAATATAATTACATTCATCTTGAGGAGTTTGTTCATATAGATATTGACTCTTGATAATTTTTATTCCCTCCTTTCCTTCTGCCTGCTTCATTCTGCCTTTCCTCAAGTTCTGTAAAGATGGAGCATATCCAATAGTGGTATTTCAAGTCATCTAGGAAAAGACAGGTTGTTCCAGAGGGTGGCAGCGGGGTTAGGTGCTGCTGGCTGATTGGGAAGAGTTCACATTTGAGAGCTTACACATCACATTTTAATGAACATAATGGGGAATTTTTATGTCAGAGGATGGATCACGGAGGATGTTTTAGATATGACTCCCACAATCCCACAAAGTCAGTTACACACGTGCCGTGGAATCTTCTGTGCAGATGGACAGTAGTGGACACGGATGCTTTTCCAAGGTCCTTTTTAGGAGTGAACCATTCCCTCCGTGGTTGGAGCACTGCCAGAAGATAGCTGGTGGTTTCCCACTCTCAGAATTGCCCTGCACTGAAAGATCCACCTTACCCAAATGACTCCTGTTCTTTAGGAGTAACTCATATCTAACAACCGGTTAATGTTTTATATAAGGGGCTTGTGCATCTGCAAATTTTAAATCTTTAGGCAAATTTTAATGTTTTAGGCTGCTTGTTGAATGCCCACCCATGAATACTAAGGGAAGATTGTACATAAAATGAGGGTTCCTCGGACCCATTATGGTGATAATTGGCACTGTGAAGTGTGTGCCAAGCAGAACCCAGTACTACAATTCAGATGCCAAGTTCCCCCGCTTTGTTGCTTTAACTTTTGCTTCAAAAGTTTATTAAGAAACATGCCAAGTGCGGTGGCACAGATTTGTAATTTCAGTACCTGAGAGGCTAAAGCAGGAGGATAATCGTGAGTTTGAGGACAACCTGGGCTATATAAGCAAATTCAAGGCCATCCTCAATTACATATTGAGACTTTGTGTCAAAAAAAGTTTGTTAAGAAACAGTCAAGAGAAAATTAATCAAGCTATATGTAATTCTTTTATGTTAAAAGGAACAGAACAATAGGACTAAGAGTAATGCATTGTTGATATTTTCCAGGTATTACTGTTGTTTTGGAATAGACCATGCAACCACAGTGTGAACTGAATTGTCTTAGAATAACTATTTTGACACTGTCCTTCCATGTGAGGTTAATTTATTTTCTTGTTCTGTCTTCCCCCCTTCCCCGACTTTGAGAGTGTTTCAGTGAACTATGATTTTCATCTTCTAAAACTATACAGCCAGTGCAACCAGAAAGCTCTTGTGCTAAAGTCTGCTGGATTCTTTCAGAAGTAGAAACTGTACATTTTGTTTGAATCCAGCTCTAAGTGTGTATCTTTTGAGTTTTCTGATAGGAAATAGAATTTAATACCCATGTTCTAGCAGGGAAACTTGAGCCATGCCTTGGAGATTCATAAATAAACTTCACTGAGGAGCTGCTGGCTTGGAAACCCTAATTACAGAAAGTGGCTATTGAAAATAGAGTTAACGCTCAATTCCAATTCAAGCTTGATGGGTCTTTGATTTTCTTGGGGGAATGGAAGTCAAGGGCCAAGGATCTCCCATGCCCTCTCCTGCTCCTAGCTAGGAAGCCTGGCCTTGCTGGATCCTCACTGACTCCAGTCATGTTTTCCTTCTAGAATGAGAGTCTGTGCCAGGTCAGTGCTGCTGTCACACTGGGTCTTCCTGGCCTATGTGTTAATGGTGTGCTGTAAGCTGATGTCTGCCTCAAGCCAGCACCTCCGGGGACATGCAGGTAAGCCCTTTAAGCTCATTACGCTCTGCTGAGATCAATTAATAAAGCCCTTTCAAACGTCAGAGTCCACATTTTTGACACAGGCAATTGACAAGAGCCCTCTGTGGTAAGAAAATAACCAGAGGAAGCAGACGGCATCACAGAGAAATGAGCTGGATTTAATAGTTTGGTGCTCAAATGATGCTGCTTCTGCCATGTTGTCAAGATGTCTTCAGGGTTTTTAGACTTTCTTTTTCCTGGGTACACTTCAGTTTTTACAGAAAACCAACAGTACATTGCGTGTGCGTGCATGTACTGCAAACATTGTCCTGCAAGCACTGGAGAAGGGGGAACATGTGGTAGGCTGATAAACTTCACTTCCCACAAGGCTAGAGTGAAACAGACTTTCAGATAATTTAAGACCCTTCTGCAATATATGGAGAAAAGATGCTGAATGATAAATAAAAAACAAAGGCAAAATGTAACATAAAAAGGGAAAGAGAAAGCAGTGGAAGCTTTTGCAGGGGCTCTAAAATGAAAATTTTAGAAGTGGTCATTTTAATAATTTCTAGTGAAGCTCATATACATGTATTACTTTTTTCTTTAACCCAGGGCTTTGGTACTGAGATGATGATGATGATGATGATGATGATGATGATGATGATGATGTGTGTGTGTGTGTGTGTGTGTGTAAGACAGACAGACAGACAGAACAAATGGGAATATCTTGTGCTTCTCCTCTCCTTTGTGACATCTGTATTAAAAGTGACCCAGATTTGGAAATCTCAGAGAATTGTTTCCCTGAATAATTTCCATTTGTCAGTGGACTTGGCATTACTGATTCTGCATTGGTAACTTGGGTGTGGCGGTGCCAGAAGTGCTTTAGCTTTGCTAAATCACGAATGTATCAGAACGTAAATCCTCTCTCCAAAGACCTTTGTGTGTGGAAACATTCATACAGTAGCTCTACTTCTACACATATAAAAGTCATACTCTCTACTCCCATACTGTGGTATGTTAAGGTACTATAATTTTAGGTTCAAGGTAATTTCTTAAATCTCTCACAATTCAATTTTCTCTCCTCAAGCAACAGAAGAAGGTATAAAAAATAATGATTGAAGTTGCAGCAAATCAGTATAAAATCAGTGGCATTCAGCAGCTGTGACTGCGTGGTGTGCCTTTTGATGAGTTTATTCAGCAGGACAGGGTGTTTGAAGTCATTAGTCTTATCTGATTAATACACATTTCTCTTCTTGAATGGAGGTTAAGAGTCGGGGGAGTCAGCACGCTGGTCCTTTCAGTGGGGCCTCTTATCAGCAGCAGATTGACAGGCTTTCTGGAACTATGGTGGGGGGGGGTTGTGTTGCAGAGTGATTAAAACTTGAAGGAAATAAAGGACATGACTGAACTTCCCCTTTTCGTCTGTGTGGCAATCACAGTTTCATATGTAACTCTGAACTGGGGAAAGGTAGAACTCTGTGGCAAAATCTAAATTAAGATGGAATCATGTACCCAAGAAAGGCTGATAGTGTCTTCCATATCAGCAGAAGTTGAACATATGTCAGGCATGGTGAGGGGGTCTGAGTGAAAGACCTGTGGTACTGCCAACGGAGTGACAGTTTGTCTTAGATTGTCATGTGACTTCCTTTGGATTGAGTACACATGGCCTGAAGTTCTGGTTTCTCTTTGGGCTGTTGCAGATTCCTCTTCTTTCACCTGTAGAATTTAAGTACCTGTTGCTCCACATCTTACCAATCATTAAGGGAGTCAGGTCCGAGCTGGTTCCTGGGGGCTCTGTTCTTTAACTGAAGATGTGTGCTGCCAGGAGGACCATTTTTAAAAGCATTCTTTGCCCAGTTTGAGGATTTCAATGGTTGGCCTCCCTGGCTTTCTGCAGCACAGCACACCTGCCAGAGTGAGAGCTCCTGAGTTATCCTAATTTGTGCCTCTGATGCTTAGGATGGAAAGGGTGCTAAAGAAATATTAATAGGATGATTACTTTTGTGTATTTGTGTCTTAGCTATTTTCCTCATTCCTAGGACAAACTACTGGGCATCTGTAAGGTAAAGGAGCAAAGGTTTATTTCAGCTCACAGTTTGTAGAGTTTTCAGTCCATAGTTAGCTGGCTCTGAGATAGAGTGACATAGCAGAGGGGCATGGCAGAGGAGAAACAGTTCATGGTGTAGCAGGCAGAGGGCAGAAAACAGCAAGCAGCAAGCAGCCTTTCTTTCCCTGTTGTCCCATCCAGGCTACAAGCCTTTGGGATGGTTCCACTTGCACCTAGGGTGGGGCTTCTGTCTTCAGTAAATCCACTCAGGCATACCCAGAACTATGCTAATTCCAAGCAGTGGAGTAATTTTGTGCCACACACTCTTATCCCAGTATCATACACCCTAAACACAACCAGCTCAGGAAACCCCCACTTATTAGTACATGGGGCTTTGGTGGACATTTAAATACAAGCCATAACAATTTGTTACCATCTTAAAAGCTAAATAGTTTCCTTCTGGTGATAAAAATTATAAATAATATAAGCATTTTTGAAAGTTATATCCTTTTAACTTTTGCTTGGCTGTCTTCCTAAGAAAAAACAATGCACACCAGTATGTATTTGTACACATATATGTTACTGTGCACCATTTCATAACTACCCTCTGGACCTTCATTCCCATTGAATGACAGAGTTTATAGGTCATTGGTTACAGATCTCTATTACTCTACACTACATGGCAATCTGTTGGATGATTGTACCATAAATTATGTAGTCATTCTAATTTTGGTTTATTATCCGACTTGTACAATTTGTAAGTTACCCACATTGACTCCAACAGAAGAAATTTTCATTTGTTGCTCATGCAAATGGTTTCCCTCTGCTATAGTCTTCTTGTAATTCATGGTGGACAGAAGCTTTGTTTTTTTTCAACATTTTGTTTTCAAGGATGATGTGGTGCTACCTTGATTCCAATCAGCTGGAGGTGAGGGCAACAACTATGCAAGGTTGGGGGTGTTCACTTGGAAGGTGATAATGAGACAGAGTTAGGTGTGGATGTTCTGCCCCGCCATTGGCTAGGGCTTCATCATGATTACAATGAACTGCAGGGGACGCTGGGAAACACACTCTAGCTGTGGGCCCAGGGAGAAGAAAATTTTCTAGGCATCCTGTTGTCTCTGACAACATACATTTCATATTTTGAGAATGCAAACGTCGTCTAGAAATTTTGGAGTTATTTATGTTTCTACCAACAGTAATAGGAACAACAATGCCTGTTTTTTTTTTTTAAATTTTATTTAAGGAGAAAAAGAAAAAAAACAGAAAAAGGGTACAAGTTATATAGAATTTCAGAAAAAATAAACAGTAGGAAATCACTAGTTCATAGATTACATATTGTCATCTTAGAAAGTTGTTCAAGTTACAAAATTAAAGCATATAAAGTGGACATTCAAACAGTGAGACTCCAAACAGTTCTGTTCAATGATCCAACAAAACTCAGTAATATGGTTATCTATCTTATACACTTAAATATACATGCAATTATATCCTTTAGAGCACTTTCTTTTCCTCTCTTTTGTACAATGACAATTACACATTTTGGGTTTTATTGCTCCCACAGTTCTTATCACTTTTTTTGAAGAGAGTAAAACCAAATGTGACATGACCAAACAGAGTCAGTCAAATCAAAAGGATTGACATAATACATAATGTAAAAACAAAATACAAGGTGATCAACAATGGTTACCCTAATGCCTCTTGCTATCTTAAAAAGAATTGCCTATGTCATCAATTATAATAAAATTTGAACAAAACAGTAAAGAACAAAACCAATAAAACCAAAGCATTGGAGACATTATAGGACTTCAAAAGAAGATAATAGTCAACCAGAATGGGCATCATAATGAATCTTATTGTCTTCACAGTTGTTGCCTATACTTTCGAACTTGGTACTATCAAGCAAAACAGAATAGAGGAAAATCAGTCAAAACAAGATGGTGAGAGCAATACAGGGTCTCAAATCAAGTTAATAGGAAATCAAAGTGGGTTACTATACTATATCCTGCTATTTTTATTTATTTTTCCCTTAATTAAAAAGATAAAAATAAAAAAGTAAATAATAAAAAAAGGAGATTGAGATAAAAGAGGGCATAACAACAAAACAGCACAGGTCAAACATAACCATTTAAGCAAAATAGTGTTTCACCACAAGATATCCCGACATAAAAGTAGTTACCATAGTGTCTCTTTCCTTGAAATCTTTGAGTATAACTTCGTGTACTGTAACATCAAACATATCAAGACAAGGTAAAACCATTCAAGAGAATGACAGTATTCCAGGGTATTAACAGAAAATAAACAATGGTTTCTGTATAATCTCCTTGTCTATAAAAGTTTTTGTTTATATTATCACATATAATAAAATCCAATAAGATACAACATGTTAACACTGATGGAGACAGAAGAGCAAAAGTTTGATGGGACTTCTAAACAAGATGATATTAAATCAGCACTAGCTATTATGTTGTTTTGTTTTCTCCAAAATAGTTGTTCCTACCATCCAACCTTCTCTGCCTCATTTCTGTTGAGCTCTTTTTCCGTCATTAGTTGTCAGTTTGTCTTCTTCATTTTGCTTTCTGCTCCATTCATTGTGGCCTCTCTGCCACTGTTTCTGGAATCTTGGTATTTTTCTTTTTAAGGATATCCTGCAGTATTCTCTGTAGAGGTGAATTGGTGGTTGCAAATTCCCCTAGTTCCTCTTTATCCTGGAAGCACCTTGTTTTTCCATCAATTTCTAGGTACAGTTGTGCAGAATATATCAATCTTGGTTGAAAAGGTTATTATATTTCAAAGCTTGAATTATTTCCCCCCATGCATGCTCTTTGTGATTTGATGGTTTGTGCTGAGAAGTGTGCTGTAATTCTGATGGGTGTTCCCTTGTAAGTGATCTGTTTCTTGTCTCTGACAGCTTTTAATATTCTGTTCTTATATTGTATTTCTAGAATTTTGATTATTATATGCCTGGGTGTAG